ATCCTGCCCCTCGGTGCGGGCAGCAGTGCTGCCGGGGGGGCCGTTGCCTCTCCCCCCTCCTTGCTGCCACGCGCTCGGGACGTGAACCCTCCGCCGACGTTGAGCAACCCTCTTCTGTCCGCAACCGCTCCCTGGAGGCGGCGGTGGTGGCCGCCCCTGTGGAAAATCTCACTGGGGCTGCACCGCTGTGTGGTGTCCCACCTGGGATCCCTGGGATGGGGATGGGACGAAACGCCGCGATGGGAAACTGCCGTTTTGGCACGTGGCACGGAGCTGTTGCTTCCCACAGGGGAGCGCAGACGGGGCCGCCATCTCCCCCACTGCCCCCTCGGTGGGGCAGAGGCCACGGCTGGGGCAACGGCCAGCACCGCGTGTCCCTGCGGTGTGTGGCAATCGGGGAAGATTTGTTCTATTTGGGGAAAGGCCGCAAGGTCCCTTGTCCCTTTTGCAACCCTCGGTGGTGGCAGCTCTCCCGCTGCCCCCCCCTCCTCCATGTCCCAGCCAGGTATCTGCTGGGAGATGTCCTTCCCCGTGGGGACGTGTAGGCAGTTGTCACCCCAGCCAGCCCCTGGGAGGGGGCTCGCTGCCACGACTCCCCAGGACATGCGTTCCCTCCCCAGGCATCTTCTCAGCCCGTGGGGACGTCTCTGACCCAGCATCTCCAGCTCTCCCTGTGGCTCAGCCCAGGGCAGGGCTATGCTCTCCCGGTGGTGTCACGGCGGGGATGTGACAGCAGGAGATGCTCGGGACGACACAGGGACATCTGGGGGCACGTGTGTGGTGGCATTTTCCCCCCCGTGAGCTGGGGATGGGGATGGACTCCCCAGGAGGATGGTGGGCTGGGAGGAGGCTTGCCCAAACACTGGGTCTGCGGCCGCAGAGACCCGTGGATCTCATTGCATCTCCCAAGGGCTCCAACGTCCCTAAGTGGCCGCCCCCTGGACCCCCCCCTGGGGCTGGGTGCCCCTTTTTGGCTCAGCGCAGCCCCAGCCGTGCCACAGCCTCACGGTGGCTGTGCCGGGCTCCAGCCCCAGCCCCTCTCCCCCTGCTCCTGCCATCGCTGCCGGGGGTGGCAGTTCCCCCCCCAGTCTCTCCCAGCAGGATGTGGGGGACCCATTTTTAGATGATGGGGTCCTTGGAGGCATAGGGAGGGTTTGGGAATGATTCATGTCCCGATGACAGGGATTTGGGGAGCGACCTGGGGCTGCAGAGCCCGTGTAACCCCCTGACGCGCTGCCCCAAGCGCTGTGTCAGCTCGGGGGGATGATGCCAAAGCCCAAAAAAGGGAGCAGGGGGGGCAGAGTGTCCCCCGTCTCCCTCTGCCCCAGGAGCCCTGCACCGTCCCCGCACATCCCAGCAGCTCCACAGTGGCCCAGCCCCAAAACCTGGCCAAGCTCCCTGCACGGGGCCAGCAGCAC